TCTCTCCCAGATTAATTTTTCTAAAATATAGCTGTCACCAGCTTCATATTACCTACTGAATTAAGTCTATACTCTTTAGCCACAGTTAAACCTGTTCATGATATAACCTTGATCTACTTCTCTAATGTTATTGGTCAGTGGTCTGCTGTACAAATGTTGTGGAGTTATGAGGAGGGAGTTATGAGAAGGTCAAGGAAATTAACCTAGGCAAACTGGACTGTTGTTTGTTCTTTGAACAACAAGTTGTGTTTTCTTATTTTGTGTGTGTGTGTGTGTGTGTGTGTGTGTGTGTGTTTTCCAGGGTCATGCTTGGCCATGGCAAATAACAGTTCAGTTACCTCCTCCCCTGAAAACCATTGACAAATATGGTCTTTCTTCTGCATCCCCATTTTTCACCTTACGTGTGTCTTATTATACTTATTTTACCATTAGGTCCACATTCATTCCATGAAAGAGTAAATTCTTTGAGGGACATGATTGGTTTTTCTTTTCTTTAGCCTCCAGCTATTAGTTGCTAAATATTCTAAAAAGTGAAAGACATCCTCTCCTCTCCTCTCCTCTTCTTTTCCTTCATAACTAATAAATAAATAAGTAAAAGACAGAGGTAGAAAGGATTGGTGTTTAATATATTTTAAAACTTTTTTACTTTTAAAAAAATAATACTTATTTGCTCTTTTTGGAAACAGTCTCGCGCTGTCGCCCAGGCTAGAGTGCTGTGGCGTCAGCCTAGCTCATAGCAACCTCAAACTCCTGGGCTCAAATGATCCTCCTGCCTCAGCTTCCCAACTAGCTGGGACTACAGGTGTGCACCACCAAGTTTGGCTAATTTTTTCTATTTTTAGTAGAGATGGGGTCTCACTCTTGCTCAGGCTAATCTTGAACGCCTGATCTCAAAGCGATCCTCCAGCCTCAGCCTTCCAGAGTGCTAGGATTACAGGTGTGAGCCACTGTGCCCAGCCAAGGATTGGTCTTTAAGTAGATTTATCATTATCTATCATTTATTCAGTGTTAAATAACACATCCAATAAACAAAACAGATTATTCTTATCTTCATGGACCTTACATTTTTACAGGGGAAAACTGATTATAAAAATATTTTGTATGTTTTGTAAATAAATATAAACTTCTGATAAGTGCTATGAAAAAATTAAAATCAAAGCAGAGAAAAGAGATAGTGAATTGTGGTAGGGATGAGGATGGAGTGAATGGTAATTTTAAACATTGCGGCAAGGAAAGGCCTCTCTCAGAAGGTGCCATTTTGTGTAAAGACTTGAAGGAGGGGAGGGAAGGAGAAAGTTACATGGAATACCTAGGGGAAAAGCAGAAGGGCAGAAGAAATAGCATGTGCAAAGGCCCTGAGGGGAGCATGCTTGGTGTTTATGAGGAACAACACAAAGGTCAGTACAACTGAAGGGAGTCCTGTTTGTTGAGGTCAGAGATTCAGTAGGAATTCACTGGGCCATTGTAAAGATTTGAGTTTTCTCTATGTGAAATGGGAAACCATTAAAGGGTTTTGGGCTGAGGAATGACAAAATTTGTTTTAGGTTTTAAAGAATTGCTTTGGCTGCCACCTTGGGAATAGCCACAGGGTGAAGAGAAAGCAGAGACTAATTAGGAAATTATTTAAGAATTTATGGAGTGAGGATGGATTTCTATTTACTGAAAAGAGGGAAGGCTGCAGAAAGAGCATGTTTTCTTTCTTTTTTTTTTTGAGACACAGTCTCAATCCGTTGCCCTGAGTAGAGTGCCATGGCGTCATCATAGCTCAGAGCAACCTCAGACTCCTGGGCTGAAGCGATCTTCCTCCCTCAGCCTCCCAAGTAGCTGGAATTATAGGTGCACACCACAACACCGAACTAATTTTTCTATTTTTGGTAGAGACTGGGTCTCGATCTTGCTCAGGCTGGTCTTGAGCTCCTAAGCTCAAGTAATCCTTTGGCCTTGGCCTCCCAGAGTGCTAGGATTACAGGTGTGAGCCACTGCGCCCAGCCTAGGAAGAGCATGTTTGGAAGGAAGATCTGATATGATAAAAAGATATGATAAAAAGATGCCAATTAGATAGATGGATGGAGATGTTGGAGATACGACTCAATGGAGTTGGGGAGTACAGTGAGAAGGGCTGGGATTGGGAGTCCTCAGCATATGGATGGTACTGGGTCAGGTGAGATCCTGAGAGTGAGTATAATTATAGAAGAGAAGAGACCCAGAGACTGAGCCCTGGGACACTACAACATCTGCAGGTTGGGAAAGTTACGAGTAATCAGCTGAGTAGATGAAGAAGAAATGATTGAATGTTTAAATCACTAGACTTTTCAGTTATAATTTGCACCAACTTTCTGTTCTTGATCTGGATTGAGTTTGGAGTTGTAGGCCATTAAATGATAAATTAAATCTGTAAGGTACGTCTCATTGGGAATGGAAATGGATGAAAAGAAGTGTAGCAGTGCAGACTTTACAAGAGGGGAAATACACATTAGCACTAGGAATTTGGACAGTTTTGCTGGTTATATAATATAAAAATAAAGACTTATTTCTCTTTTGTTGTTATGTAAAAAAACTCTAGGGAGCACTTTTTTGGGTGTGTTTTTTAATTATTTTTATTTTTATTTTTTATTTTTTTTGAGACAGAGTGTGGCTCTATTGCCCAGGCTAGAGT